ATCTGCTAGCCAATGCTGGCTGGTGACACCCCCCCCCCCCCCCCGGGGGGGAGCCTTTTCTGTTGCTGCTCCGGCCCTCTGGAACGAGCTCCCTGTTGAAATCTGGACCCTTACTACCCTCCCGGCCTTCCATAAAGCTACTAAGTCCTGGCTGTTCTGGCAGGCTGGGGGCTGTTGAAGTATCCAGCCCCACTTCATCTGGGAATGTTGTCGTATTTTAAATTGTTGTATTGTCTTGTATTGTCTTATTTATCCCCTTTCCCTGTTTTATTGTAAACCACCCGGAGTCCTTCGGGAGTGGGCGGCATACAAAACCAATAAATGAAATGAAATGAATGAAATGAAAAGCAAAACTCCAACAGCATTCCGTCAAGCAGCATTTAGTTCAATTCTGCATGAAACAAAAGGACAGAGGTGGAAACCCTTTCAGTGGCATACCTAAAATCCTTTAGAAGTATTTTATTTTATTTTGTCATTGGTGCTGCCTGATTCTAGACAACTCACGGTGTAAAGAACAAGACAAATGCAACAAAATAAATGAAAATATAGAAAGAGAAATATAGAAGCAAATCCAGAAAACTTTATCATAGTTGATAAAGATAAACCTAAGATAAAAAATTCTAATGAGGTTCTATTCCCTGTATCCCAAGGCCTGAGAGAACACCAGGGCCTTTATAGCTTTCTGGTATATCATCATGATGGGACCTGTCTGGATCTCAGAGAAAACCTGATTCCATAGGACAGGTGCCACTTCAAAAAAAAGAGTGCTTCCTGGGTGCAAAAAGTCATATGAGAGGACCTAGCATGTGCTACTGTTGGCTCCTAACAGCGGGGCAGAAATCACAGGAGATAGGCAGTTCTTCAAATGACTAGGCCCTATGCATATAGATTATTATAAGTGATAATCAGTGCTTTGATTGGCCCTTAGAAGCATTCTGGCAAACATCTCACAAATCAGGAGTGTTATGTGGGCATGCAGAGTAGGCCCAGCACTGTTCATTCTGCTGTTTTATGGCCCAGTTGAAATTTCCAAGTCATTTTCAAGGGCAACCTCCTGTTGTTTTAAATAATAAAATGTGAAGCATATACATTTAATAAATAAGTAACAGTTGTGCTGTGAGGCAACAAAGGTATCAGTGACTGTCTATATACTCTTCCAATTCAGGAAGGGTTGCAACTAGTTCACGGCTTGAAGTTGTGCAATGGCTGTCTTGGTTATTGCCACTCCTTGAACAGGAGTGGTGGTAAGCCAAGAAATACCTCCAGATTGCACATCACTTCTGAATGGGGAAGTGCAACTCACCCAGGATTGGATAGGAAAATCTCACTTTAGGTGATCCTAAGAACCATAGCCGTTTGGTTTTAGTAGAATTGAGCCAAGATCAATTCTTTCCCTTCCAAGCCCACACAGATTCCAGTCACTGAGACATTACTTCAACAACCTCATTTAGTTGTCATGGAACTAAAAGATACTATTGGTTATCATCAGAATACTGAAATCCCTGCCCTAAGATGGCAGATGACCCAACTGTTTCATGTGAATGTTGAACAAAAGGAGAAAGCATCCAACCTTGTGGCATTCCATAAAGGAGAGTTATGAGGAGCAAGCTCTTCCCCTCCTCGCCACCACTGACTGAAATCAGCCTTGAAGGAAAAAAGAGAACCACTGCAATATGGCACTTCCAATTCCCAAACCCTGGAGTCAGTTCAGGAAGATACCAGAATTGACAGTATCAAAAGCTGCTGAAATATCAAGGATAGATTCACTAACTGCATTCCAGCTTTGCTCCAGCACAACAACATGTGGGACCAAGACCACCTCTGTACTGAATCTCAACCTGGAACTCAGATTAGAATGAATGTAGCTTTCTTCAGAGTTATCTGCAACCACACCATCTGGTCAAAACTGTCTGTAAAAAGTGAAGGCTGGTGACTAGAAGGTAATTGATTGTTGGGTCCAAGATTAGTTTTTTGAAGATGAAACATAGCACCACCTTCTTCAACATGGAAGGCACCACTTCTTCTCTCAGAAAGGTTGACACCACCACATACACCAATACTTGGTTGCCTTAAAGATCACGGGGGGATTTGGATCCAAGAACCAAGTGACCAAATAGTGCAGAGATCCTTATGTGCTTCTTCAATACTTAATAACATAAATTCATCCCAGATATCGGACTAAGCCCATAGCATTTCTGCTAGACATGCTTAGTTGGAGTCCAACATATTGCAGATTTGAACAACTTTAACCAATTAGCCAAAATAGCCTGTGGCTCCTGCCTGATAGAGAAAGGTCACCCTAAAAATGATTGCTTTTAATCTGACATATACAATCATTTAACATTCTAGCATTTATTCATGTTTTGAAAAAGAAAGTTTCTCCCAGAAGAATAAGATAGCATAAAAAGTATGCCAGATTTATATTATTAAATATGAAAAATGACCAAACTGATTCTGGTCATACTTGTATATTTAATTGTATATTAAATATCTTTCATCTTTAGCCAATGAAAATCTTCATTTTCAGTTTTTATAATTATCTTAAGTTTTAAAGTACACAACCTAATAATAATGTAACATGTACTTTGGCCCTAAATGTCAATGGCTCTTTTAGAAAAGAAAATCAGTGCAAGGCATTTTATAAATTGTAATGAACTATAAAAGTATACATAGCTAATGTATTATATTTCTCTTAATATGGATTTTTATGTTATTCCATCTACTTAAAAAATGACTTGTTTACTAGTTCTATCTCCCTACAAATGTGTTCAGGCCATGTTTTTTTCAAAGTTTGATAAAGTATTTATACAATAAGGTGCTTTCATCATGATTGGAAAGCAAGATAAAATGTATTTCCATACTAAACAGTTTTACCTTGAATATACTCATCACAGTAAAGGAAAATAGGATAAAATAAGTTTTAATAAAATATCTAACATTAACTTCTATTATCCAATCATTTCCATGCTATTTAATACCTCCAGTCTAGAAAATTTCCTATAGTCTAATATGGACGCTGCAGAACAAGTTCTGTGAATCAGATAAGACGGCTACATAATTTCCGCAGGAAAGCAACAGCATTAGATTTTTCATCTTTCCTCATTTTACCTTTATGACAAAACCTGTTCTGCATGTTCAAGAGTAAGAATTCAATCTAAAAAAAAATATTTTGATGGAAGAAATTGTAAAACAGAATATAAATTGCCTGTTTGAGACTATTCAAGATTTCCTGAGACGTTTGTAAATATTGCACTGACAAAATTCAAATGAAACTATTTTGAAATATAGATGACAGTGTCAGATTTACAAATCCATCCAAAAATGGACAGCATTTTCAGTAAATATTTAAAATTTTTGTTACATTCTCAATGCGTTCTCATTCATTTTCAAGACAAGAATTTCCATTATTGCAACCTTTGAGGACAGGATAGTCAACATCAGCAAGCCAACCACATAGACCAAGAGTGTCAAACTCAAGTCATTACAGTGGTGTCACATGTCGTATCTGGACCTTTTTCCCCTTTGCTAAACTGGGCATGGGTGTGGTCAGCATGTGACACATTTGGCCCATGGGCTGGAGGTTTGGCAGCCCTGACATAGATTGTCAATAAATGTGATTAAGCTACATTACATGCATCAATTAGTTTCTATTAAGAGGGTCACCACTCATACTTTTATTAAGGATCATTTAATATAAAAAAAATCTCACAAAAGAGAAATATGGGAATCTCCAGCAGATACGCTGCATTTTTTAAAAAAAAGAACAGCTATCCTGTAATCACTTCCATTTTAAATTAATATTCAATCCCAGTGGGTATCCATTATAAACCAAGAAATCTCAAACATTTCCTTACTAGCACACCCACATCCACTAAAAGAGATGGTGTTTTATTGAGCTTTTAACATGTCTATTCCCAGTGATATAATCCAAAGTCTATATTATATGAGCAGTGCACCTTTTAATAGCAGTTTGCTGGCAGACATAAACTTGATGAGCAACAGTTCATGAAAGTAGATGCCTTTTAATAAAATGTGTAAATCTGAAAAGGTGCTTCTAAACTTTCAATTTTTAGCTAGAGGCTACAATTTCACATATAACCTGCTTTCTCATTAACAAGAGTTTACAGAGATTGCATAAGTGGGATGAAGCTAAATTAGAACACAGAATAGCTCAGAGGTCTTTTAGTCCAACCAAGTGATCAAGCAGAAGACCTTACACCATTCTGGACCAATGGTTGTTCGATCTCTTCTTGAAATTTTAGTTTTTTTTCCATTCCATTAAGCTGTGTACTCACAGCCTTTTCACAAAATACAAATATCTTCAGGCCAGGATGCAATAGATTCCTTTAAGCAGATTACCACTTCTCAATTAAAAATGATATAACTTTCCCCCAATACGTTCAGAAGGGGAACCTAGCGCTTGATCTAAAAACCACCCAAAAGTTCAGCATCCTCTAATCTAGAGCAAGTCGGGTAAGGGAGGATGCTGAGATCCTCCAAGCTTTTCTGGAAGGAAAGATTGCAGCTAAAAGAAGAAGTTAAGCGAAGACATCTGGGTTGAATGAGTTCCTTATTAGTGCAATTAATGAAGGGTGGGAGCTGAAGAGGCGAGTGCAGGAGAAGAAAACAAAGACAATCACCTACTTAAGGGAGGAGACAGGGTTTAGAAAGATCAATCCTAGACAAATCACGAAACTCCCACAGACACTGATGTACAGAGGTTCTGCACCCACCCCGTACTTGGTTACGAGGGAGCCAGTCTTCCAAGCTAAAGAAGTCATTCATTCCAGCAGACGCTTAAAAAAAAAGCAAACTCCCTAAAACCTTCCATTTTGGAATAAGCACCTTCGGAAACGCCCCCGCTAGAGGTGGTTGCGTTTGACGGCCTTTGCAAAGACGATTCCGTCATTGCCGCCGGTCTGAGCCCAGGGAAGCCTCCCCGCAGAATCCCTCAGATCGGCCAGACGGCAGCTAACTTCAGGAGCCTCCAAGCAGAACTAAGGCACAAAAGCGAAGGTGGTCGAGGCGGCTGAAGAAAGCAAACCGCGAGGCATTGTTCCGCTTGCTTCTCTATGTCAGGGGTCTCCAACCTTGGCGATTTTAAGCCTGGTGGACTTCAACTCCCAAAATTCCCCAGCCAGCTGTTGGGAATTCTGGGAGTTGAAGTCCACCAGGCTTAAAGTCGCCAAGGTTGGAGAGCCCTGCTCTATGTAGCCTCACTTCGCCACTTACCTGCCGGCTGCAGCGAAAGGACACCCCACCTCAGCCTCGGCTCTCGAAGAAACGATCCTTAGAGCCTCCGCGATGGCTGTTTATAGGCTTTCGCAAGGAGGTGGAGCAGTCGGACGGCTTCTCCAGCCGAGTCCCCGCCTCCTCCTGACCTTCGCCAGCTGCAGTGAAATAATCCTCTCCTGCTGTCTTTCGGGGTCGGAGTGGCTCTGGGTCGTCTTTTTCTGTTTGGCCCAACGGCCAGCTTCTGATGTCCCGCCTGGAAGGCCACCACCCTACGTGCCTTTCAACAGAAGATGTAGGCAATCTTGGAATTGAATAATTTTAGGATTCAGAGTGAAGTAAACGTGAAATATGAAATCCCTGGCTAGCTAAGTAGAAACATTTCTAGATATTCCCTCAGCATCCCAATTAGGAATATATTTAAAAAGGGTATTTGGGATATAACTTGTATTTAGTTTTGAACAGTGATGGAATATGGAAATTGCACTAATTATTAGAAAGCAATTATAGGGAAGGGGCATTTAAACGTCTTAGTTGTATTTAGCTATGTTCATTGTGACAACCAGGTCTTGAACACAGATAGATCTTCGATTTAACCATTATGAACTTACTTTCTTTCATTTATTTTTTGTTCTATGTATAACCTGCCTTGGAGGTGTATATAATATCGATCATTATTTTATTTCCATAGTCCTAAATCAGATTAAAGAACTAAAGATCCCCCACCTACTGAACATCATTATCAAAACAGCATTACTTGAAGTGTCACTATGCCTTCATCTATCTACAATATCCCCAGTTAAAAAGTTTCTCATATCCTGGCTTGCTCCATATCAGAACATGCAAAGCCACTGTGGCATATTAGTCAAGTTGTATGTCCTGCTACCCCTCACCCACAATGGGAATATCTCAACCTACATGAGAACCTGTAAACCGGCATATTGGTTTGCAGAACTGACACCTGGAAACAAAACTGCTCATTGACTGTTCAACTGGAAGCTTTATACAATCTTGTGGTAGAGAACAACCTGGATTGGTTCACTTTATACCAGTGGGTCTCAATCTTCCTAATACCCTGACCCTTTAATACAGTTCCTCATGTTGTGGTGACCCCCAACCATAAAATTATTTTATGTTTTCCGCATTTTTTAAAAAAAATATGTGTTTTCCGATGGTCTTAGGCAACCCCTGTGAAAGGGTCGTTTGACCCCCAAAGGGGTTCCGGCCCACAGGTGAGAACCACTGCTTTATACAAATGTTAAATGTGGCTCTTGGCAAGCCCATGGTTATGAGAGCTGGGATGGCCTCCCTATATTTCCTTTTCCTCAAGTAAACTGTTCTAGTTAAATGGGAGTTTAGGGTGGCTTCCCCTTACCCCATTCTTGGCCTTCAGTTGTATAAAAGATTATTTTGTATTAAGTTATATTAAATTATAATTAAAACTCAAAACTTTCATCGTGGTCTTTGGAAAATGGCAACTATTAACAAGATTATTCCCCCCCCCCCCCGAAAAACATTGCCTTGTTATTTTACAAGCCTTTTGCTAATTATAATTTAATCTAGTTTTGTGAAACATAAGTCTCTAACCATACTGGATTAAAGATTTGCAACAGAGAACTGGTTTTATATTCTTCCTTGATCATATATTCCGAAAACTACTTTCCTGTATCAAGGCTGCCTTCTTAATTAGACTAAAAAACATTAATTCACTTTGCAATGGGAGTGCCAACTGAACTTCTGAGGATCAGTGTTTGTATCAGCTGAGTAGTACTTCCAAACACAAGGCCCTCTTTGTTTTGTTTTGTCATTTAGGCATAACTTCCAAATAACACTGTAATAGAAAACCATTGTTTTGATTTGAAGGTAGGCATGTTTTCATGAATCATTCAATTGCTTTCTATTTTTCTATTGTAAGTTTGAATTGTAAAGTCCCAAATATGCATAGTATATTCACAATTTCATACTTTAGAGTTAGCCTGTATAAAATTAATATTAAAAATTAATATAGTATAATTCAAAGGTCCAAAATGAAACTATTTATTAGTAATCATCAGCCAAGGTCAATAGGAATCAGTGTAAGAACCAGAGCCTTAAAACAAGAAGTTTTTTTTTTAAAAAATGTTGGAAATTAGTGAGTAGGGTTCACTTATGAATAAAGCTTATAGAAGTTTGTTGACAACAGGAAAGGGTATTACTTTAATAGAAGTAAGCAGTCTTAAACATGGTACTCTTATACTGAATTAGATTTCTTCCTTTCAAAATCCCTTTCCTCAGAGCTACTTGCCGTAGATTCTACAGATTGTGAATGAAAATCCTGCATTTGTGCTGGATACTAGTTTGGGAAGATTGATGTAGATTGGGTTCATACATCTTACTGGGTTATAATACTGTTTGTTTGATTTGGGCCTAGTCTTTTTATTTATAAATGATGATTTATGAAAGTTATAGATATTGCACTACAACTAGGAAAACTCAGGTTTAGGACAAGAAGCTAGTAATAATGCTTTTGGGACAGTCATTATCTCTAATCCAAACATCTCACATGGTTTCTAATGGAAAAAAAAATAGAGGAAGAAGTGTTAGGTTTACTTTACTTCCAGAGTAAGTGGTGTAAACAAAAACAAAAAAAAGATATGTGATCCATTGTAGTTTATTCTCGATATAACAATTTCAGTGTGGTTTTAAAGTTCATCAGTTAATGTGATGTTGTGATTGTAAGGTACTTAAAAGTTGTATTGCAGTCTTTGATTAACTTACTGTATATGTAATTAGTTAAAAATTGTGCTAAAATTTCTGCTGTGGAAATGTATAATAATAAATTTGAAGAATTTTAAATTGGCATTGGCTCCAGATTGTCTTACAGTTTTGCTTAAATTAATATGGCACTCCTTATACATATTTAATTTCCTCCATTAACTATTATGTATGATAACAGTGTCTAATGAGTTTAAAGGGATTCTTAATATAACCTTAAAAGTAAGTGATTACATAATGTCTAGTCAGCAAAGTATACAGTCTTATTATGAAAGTGGTTGTTCATTAGATAGGTGAACATAGAGGATTTTTTTAAAAAAAAACCTTTAAGCGATAAAACTACAATCAGAAACAAAGATCTTTTTTTAAAAACATGTTTCTTTTACTCGTAGTTATGACTATATGGAGGTGTTAGGCAGATGTATCTAAAGCAAGAAGAACAAAGTTCACAGTTTCAATGTAGTCCTAAATGTAATTAGAGAAAATGTGCAATGCAAACCACTGATTGCTGATGCTTGTTTTCCTGGTCATGAGTATCTCATGCTATATTTTT